AACAACCACCACATCTAAAATGACCAAATTATTGCTCTTTTATGACCCCACCACGAATTCACTCACGGAATTCACTCACGTCTTCCAGACTGCTTTTGCCATGCTGCCAGACGGCGAAGTAGTCGTGTAAGCATGTGACTGATAGTCGTGGAAGTGGGATTGCTTCCTGGCAAATCCGGACGTCCAGCGGAGTCATGCAGTTTCCAGCCGAGACTGGAGACGATCACACCATCGCACCATTTATCTTCCAACATGCTCATACAATCTAGCGTTAAAAGTGAAATAGGTACTAGTCATTATTCAGTTGGTCAATCTCATGATTGACTCCTTATTTATCCTATTTTCCCATACAATTTCTGCGTGTTGATCTGAGGTTATTCGTAAAGCCCGTAAAGCGCCATTTGTTGTGTACATTGACAAATCTTGTTGCTCCACCATTTGCTCATCTGCCAAATTGACAAAAGCACAAGAATTCTATGTTGAACATGTCCAAACAGCTGAGATTTGCTTTAATTAACCACAAATAAATCATTCTGTTTTATGATTCACAATAATCCCAAGTGGAACCTCCTCTGTGTGCATTTTGGCCAGACCATATTCATTAGGAGGCCCAGCACCGCGTCATCTTTTTTCTATACTCTGCCCAAATAATCATAAAAACTATTTCTTCGTGTTGTCTAGGCTTTTTAAATGATATTTTTCACCCACCTATTCGTTATTTGCTACTTCTTTCTGGTTGTCAAGTAGAGCAACAACTTGTATTTGAATCTGACTTTTACTTTCTTTCGCTATTCAGCCAGTAGATTTAATAAATCATACCAAATACCCTTAAGTGGGACTCTTACTTATTTTTCGTTTATAAGTAGGTTTTCGGGACCCTATTTCGTTTACGGTGATAAGAGAACTGGTATCAGCCATCCATCTTAGCCTCAGGAAATCCCGCAAATTCAGAGCATCGTAGAAAGATGCTTTTTATTCTGATCAAATTATGTATTTTTAAATGCTTTGAAGGAGTATGTCTTTCTTTAAACAAGTCATAAGATACTTTATACAGATCCATTTTACGTGTAATGGCAAAAGTAAGTCCATCAAGAATGCAAAAATCAAGAACACTTCTACACGAGGAAGACGCTTTCACAAATCTTATGTGATTATAGAAGTTGTTTGACCGTGTTTTCGCAACTCGGTTATATTGGTAGGAAGACTTAGAAGAACGCACCGATTCGGCAGTCCATTGTCTGCATAATCATTTCCAAAGTCGCTACATTCCCAAACGTTTCGCCGGCATCGTCAGTGAGTCTGAACAGTCTCAGCACCACACAGCAACTCGTCAAAGAGACAAGTGAAGCCGACCCTTTGACCAAACGTGTTCCAAACAGTTGAGGTATCTCCCCATGACAGCGTGGAGTGTGAAGGGTTTTCATGAACGCTGCTCAAAGGAGCACACCACACTGCATCGAAGTAAGAACGGTGAAAATTGTGACAGTGAAGGTGTGATAGGAGGATGTATGAAATGTGAATAGGCCAGGGCCGAAGGAGAAATACCACAACCGTTTAGCACACGTTTGTACATTCCCAAGTTGCGAAAACAAGGTCAAACAACTTCTAACGTCTGGGAATGTACCACGTCCACGGTGGGACTTTGGAAATGATGATGCATACAATTGACTGCGGACAAGCTGTGTTCCTCAAAGTCTTTCAACCGATAGGACCAAGTTGCGAACACAAGGCTACACAACTTGTATACAACGAAAGAGGACTGCGACCACATAAAATGCCACACCATCTTGGTCTTCATACCTTTGAGTAAACTAATGTGATTATATTCATAACCTGTAGTCGAATCGAAATTGACTTATACATGCTTTTTGTCAGCTTCAACGAAACGGGCTGACTGCCTGTGAAACTGTATGTCGGCTCCGTGAAGCACTTTTGAAGGGTCTGGGGGACTGTTGTGGAGTGGTTGTAGTGGATTAGACCATCCGCCTTGTGGGGTAGATGAAGCAACGGTGATTGGTGAAAAATGCAAACAGTCAAGTTGGTTTGACCTGTACGACTTCTACGTTGGACGGCAAAGTTGGATAAAAAAGGAGGAGAGATTGCGTCAAAATGGCTTGAAGAGTGTCGGATTGTGCAAAGAAGAACTCGCGTTAGAGTCCTGCCATCCTCTCTTCTTTGACAGAAATCGTCAGTATGCGAAGAAAATTTGGGTTTCGAGCAATCTCTTGTTGCATAATTGTTGAACTTACTTCCATTTAGAGTGAAAGTGTTGCGTGAAGACATTCGAAGGTCGGTTCCACCAGCTGTCGATTGGCTTTACTGGAACATTCATGTTGATGCTGTTTCCGAGGCAATATCCTTCGATTCCGGTGGAAAGGTGCCAAGTTTTCGTCCGTCATTTGACGAACATCATCAGAGCACGGTATCATCGTCACAACCAAATGCAAACTAACGAATCTATAAAACTCATCGACAGTTGACGACAAGAATGTTCCAGTAAAGCCATTCGACAGCTGATCAAGAGGAATTCGGCGTCGTCTTCTGGTGGAACCGACCTTCGAATCTCTTCACGCAACACTTTCACTCGAAATGGAAGTAAGCACGGAAATCGTCAGAGCCGATTGCTGCACTTTTAGTGTCTTCTGCTTGTCCGCTCTTGCGATGTCTGTCCTACGGGCCGGAGGGACGAAGCAAGCACGTGTTCGAACCACACAACCAAATCCACTCCAACTCGGACGATAAGAACTATTAAAAGCTCTCTCTCTATATCTCACTCTCTCTCTCTCTCTAGAACAAGTGATCATGAACAGTTTGGCTATCCTGACCATCGAAACGTACTATTTCAGCCGCCAGGACACAAGTGGCTTGACAGTTTTCGTCTCGTCTCGTCGGTAGCCTCGTCGATTTGCCAGCATATCGTCTGGCAACCAGCCACCTCAGCATGGACCTGCAACTCGGGCGAATCGATAAGTCCGGATACGCTTTCGTGGTCGCCACTTGACCCCAGTTGAGCCCCAGTTGACAAGGTGACCTGTAACCAAACGCCTTTAGACCGTTTTGTTTAGCAGACCATAGAGAGTTGAAAGAGCGTGTACCGTCTCGATCGGTTTTTGGTTGGCGTCTGTAGCGGTGTTGTCAACGAGGCAGCGACGACAGGCTGCAACGGAAACACATCCTGGCAGCTGAAGGTGAGTGGAGCGCTGCTTCTTGCAGTTGCCACAAAAAAAGGGAGTTCCGGCACGAAACCGCCATTTACCGTATTTCCCCATGTACAAGCCACCCTTTTTTTCCAAAATTTCCAAGCCAAAAAAGTAGGGGGTGGCATATATATAAAGCAGGTACACGTTTTATGCGTGAAAAATGCATAAAATAATAAAGTAGGAA